GAAACTAGTATTAAATGATGCAAGCATGTCTGGAAAATGTGCCGAAATACTTTGGGCATTAATATGGATAACATTGAAATTTTTCAGTACATCTGAGAATTGAGAAGATAGGACTTCGTTTAAAGGAGTGAAATCTGTACTGTGAAAAATATCGTCACTACTGCCGCTTTCAGAGTAAGGTGTCATAAACGAATCATTATTTGAATTATTGTCATTGAACAAGTCAGAAATCATATTTCATATTTCATATTCATTTATTTGCATAATACAGATATAAAAGGTGTTACAGAAAATTATAATATGTACATTGTATTATTACCTTATGAGGTGTGCAAATACAATAAATGTTTTTTCTTAAAGACATACAAATATAATTGAGTGTTCTTTTGAAAAATCATGCCATAAGATAAAATAGAATAGAAATAATTGAAATTGGCATACTAATGAAAATTCTACATTTATAAAATTAAATTGATTACAATAACAAAAAATGATAATATTCAATAAAAATTACTAGTCAAAATTGTCATTCAAGAAGTCATCAATTTTATAGTAACATTTGTTTATTAATAAGTCATTTAGCACATTTTTAAATTTAAATAAGGTCATATTTTTTATTGAATCAGGTAGTTTATTATAAATTTGTGGGGCAATACCAAAGAAGCTTTTTTTCATTAATGATGTTTTACATTTTATGTAACATAACCTATTTATGTAGTGGGTAGGTATTGGATTCTTTCTAATATCAGATATTTTTTGGAAAAGAAATGGATGCTTTTTTACAAAAATAGCTGTTTCCAGTATATACAATGACGGCAGTGTTAGGATTTTTAAGTATTTAAAATAAGGAAAACAGCTATATGTTACTTTGAGACCACACATTGATCTTACACATCGTTTTTGCATCCTAAATACAAGCTCCCTATCAGAAGACTGTCCCCAGAAAATGATGCCATATCGTAAAGCGGAAGCAACTAGTCCATGGTATGCTATCAAAAGAGCCTGGCTGTTAACCTTTTTTGAAAGTTGAGAAAGCGCATATGCGGATTTGCTGAGTCGTTTGCATAGATCCTCAACATGAGGCTTCCAAGTGAGATGATTATCAATCACTATACCTAAAAACTTCGCCATATTTGCTTCTTCAATATTAAAGCCTTGGTAGGAAATGTTAATGTTTGGGTTTTCACGGCGTTGATGGAAGTGCATAACTTTTGTTTTATTTAAATTTATTTTTAAATTATTATTATTAAGCCACTCTATAATTTTGCGTAAACAGGTATTTATATCACTTTCATAATTAATTTCATTTGCACACTTTATTATAGCTGTACTGTCATCTGCAAAGAGAACCATTTTGTGTGACGTTATTTTTGGTAGATCGTTTATATATATATATATATATATATATATATATATATATATATATATATATATATATATATATATATATATATATATTAAAAAGAGTAGTGGCCCTAGTACGCTACCTTGTGGAACCCCGTATTTGATGTGCCTTGGTTTCGATAAATATGTATTTTCTAATTTACTCTTTGGACATATTCTAGAAATTTCTGTGCATTGGATTCTATTACTTAGGTACGATTCTAAGAGCTGAAGAATATTTCCTCTTATACCATAACCATGTAATTTGTTTAACAAGATCTTGTGGTCCACATAATCAAAAGCCTTGGTCATGTCAGTATAAATGGCACAGACTGGATTTCTCTTATCTACAGATGTCATAATATTAGCTAGTAAGTCATACAGTGCCACATTGATATTAGTATTTTTTCGGAACCCCTTTTGCTCTGTACAAAATAATTTATACTTTTCGAAATAGGTGTATAAAGAGTTATAAATTACTTTTTCAAAAACTTTTGAGAATATAGGAATTTTTGCAATAGGTCTGTAATTTTTTAAATCTGTTTTGTCATCTTTTTTATATAGGGGTTTAATAATAACTTTTTTCAATTTTTTTGGAAATATGCCATCAGTAATACTTAAGTTAATTATATGTGCTAATGGTGGGGCTATTACTTCCTTGGTGTATTTAATCACTTTTGTAGACAATCCATCATATCCAACAGTGTTCGTGTTTTTTAGACCACAAATTATTCTTGTTATGTCATTAATTGATACAGGTTCCATAAATAGTGAATTCAATGTCAAATTTTTAAAACTAATACTATTCAATGTGATGTCAGCGTTTACATTATTTTCAATTTCATCAATAAAATAATTGTTAAATGCATTTTCAATCGCCATGGGGTGTGTAAAAAACAAATTTTCTTTTTTTACATACATTATAGGCTCCTGTGGCAAACACAATTTTGATTTGTTTATTATTTGCCAAGTAGCTTTAGATTTATTTTGAGAGGTTTTTATAAAATGGTTATTTCGCACTTTTTGGGTTAGCTTGATAATTTTTCTATAGAGTTTGGTGTAGTTTTTAAAAGCTATTTTATTCTTTGCGTCAGGATTTAATCTGTATGCCCAGAGTAAGTGCCTTTGTTTCTTACTGCATATTTTTATTCCATGAGATAGCCATTTCGTTGCTTTGTTAGTCTTTATAGTTATAATTTTCTCCGGAAAACATAATCTATAAAACAGAGAAAAATCATTCATAAAATTGTTAAAAGCTTCGTTTGCATTATTGGCATTGTATACTTGTGTGAAAGATAAGCAGCTTAGATGAGTTTTAAAATTAATTAAATTTTCAATGGATATGTCCTGCTTTTTAGTTTTCCAAAATTTTATTTTGAAAGTTTTATTAATTGGCACTTGGAGTATTTGAGACGTATGATCCGAAAGAACTAGATCTACAACTTCTGTTTTGCATTCCTTTCGGTAATTGTGTGCAAAATTGTCGATACAGGTGTGACTACTTAATCTAGTGGGTGTATAAAGTGCTAATTTTAAGTTGTATTGCATGAGAAAGTATTCAAACTCCAATGTAGTTTTGTTCCTTTTTAGTACATCAATATTAAAATCTCCACACAAGACGATATTTTTTTTATTTGAAGATAGGCAAAATGTTCTTAATATAATGTCAAATTTTTCATAAAATACTGCATAATTATGTTTAGGAATTCTATATATACAGATAATAATAATTTTGTGAGCTATTATTTCTACCGCACAGCATTCGAAAACACCCGAAACTGATTGCTTTGCTATATCTGATAATTCTCTATACTGTAATCCTACTCTTACAAAAATACATGTTCCTCCTCGCTTAGTATTTCTCGAAAAGAAAGCAGCTGGGCAGAAATTTGATATGTGTAATAAATCCTCGTGACCCGTTTTAATAAAATGTTCTGTAACACAGATAACATCTATAATGATGCCCTTGTTAAATAGTTCTTCTAATTTTACAGTTAGTGTATCCGATTTACTCATTAGCCCTGCTATATTTTGATGAAGTATGTTAAGGTAGTTAAAGAAAAAATTGAGATTTTTTTTTGTTGTGAGTCAGTAGGCAATATGTTTTGGTTTTGAAGAAAGCAGTTAGCCTCTGGGTACATAGTGTTTAGGTTGCTCAGGTCAAGAATTAAATCTTGCAGATCTGATATAACAATTTTCAAACCATAGTTATTTAAAGTTCCATAACGTTTGCTATACGTATTATGGTCATAAGGTAGATTAAGATTTGAGTCTAAGATATATGCATAATTATAAGAACCAATATCCATGTAAAGCAGGTTATTAAAGGTTTCTATACGGCTGTTAAACATTACGTTAGTATTTTTCATATATTTAAAAGTTGGTAAGCATATTATAAAATTTGTGTGATTTGAAGGTAATAATTTTTCTCTGATAAACATGACTAGCTCTATATAATTATGCGTTGTCCGAAAATCTTCTTCACCAATATAAACAACACAATAGTCAGACAGCGTAAAGTTTTGTACTTTGCCCTCAATTTTATCTAAGATTTGCTTCAATCCACATTTAGGTTTACGATAGTGACAAATTTCATAATTACGTAGATTAGTTCTCTCAGCAATAGTGTATATTCTGTTAGATGTTTCACCGCTTATTAAACAAATTTTGTGTTTAGTGGACGGATGATCTATTGTTGTGGCCTGTACATCATTAGTTGTGTTGGTCGAGCCTGTATTGCTGCTAGTGATTTTAGTTTTATAGTCAATCGTAGATAAGGAGCAGTCATTTCCGATGATCTCAGTTGTTTGCATTTGTTTTGATTTTGTTTGCTTATTTTCATTTTTCTTTGGTGTTGTCATTTTAATTTTTGCAGGACTATTGACTATTTTTTTGTATATGTTATTTTTCTTATTAAATTCTTCATTACTTTTCTTTAAATTACTGTTTTCTAATGATAAAAATTCAATTTCTTTATGTGCACTATTTAGTTGTGATGTTAGTCTTTCGATCTCCTTTTTTAATATTTTTATTTGATCTTCGTCTTCAGAAATATCTGGTAAACTACTTGTTGTACAATTTAAAGTTTGTGAAATAATATCGCTTTCATCGTCATTCGATTCCGATCGCGTTCGGGTGCGCTGGAACGTTATATTCTCCAAGAAATTCATTATAAGTAATATAATCATAATAAGTCTTTCTTTTTATAAATAATGAAAATTATAAAATATAATAAGGTATTTCGTTTATATATATATATTGTTACAAAATAATAATAATAATAATAATATATTATATAAATATGAATAAATAAGAAGTCTCCTTTACCAACCAGCGTTACTAGAAGATCGCAAATCGCAACTAATCAATCAATAGATGTTACACTTCATACGTACACAACATTTACAGCAATACGTAGTAAAAACATATTATAAGCTCAACAATATTACATACATAAAGAAAATAATTAACAGTAGGTCTTAAAAGTAAACAAACTAAATTTATTGAACTCTTCTACTACGCAAATAAGGTAATGTAAAACTTAATACGAGTTGGCTGTATGATCATCAACCTTTGCTTTTATACATAAACAAGATTTACTTTGACAGTTTTAAATCAATGTCAAAATTTGTAATATTACCCTTTACATTCATATAAACAATAGAAATAATTTTACCTTTGGAACAGAAAAGAAAAATACAATTAGTAATAATTTTGAAGTACCGGTAAAACAGTAAACACACACGTATACTGAGCAATAATAAATCTTAAAGTATCTATACCAATGGATAAAACACTAACGATTACAGTACTTATACAAAGAGAGATATCTTTATTTAGCTATCTTAAGTACCTAGCTTTAGTAATAAATATAACAAACTAGTCTAAAAATACTAAAGTACTTATCTTTATTATGAAATATAATAGAGAGAACAAGGGTAATAATTTTGATGTGTCAGTACAACATAGCAAATGTTGTCATATGCTGAAGTAATAATACAACTTAAAGGAACTATGTTAATAAATAAATCACTTAAACAACTATAGTACAAAGAGAAATATTTACTTAGGATATCAGTCTAAAATACCTAGCTTTAGCAAGAAATACAATAAAGTAGCCTAAAATTTTGAAGTGCCGGTACAACACAGCAAACACATATGTGGAAGTAATAATTCAACTTAAAGTACTTATGTTATTGAAGAAATCACCCAAACGATCAAAGTACAAAGAAAGAAATATTTACACTTAGCTAACAATCTGAAGTACCTAAGTTTACATATACATACATAAATACATAAACACTCACGCCTGTCACCCAGAGGGGTAGGCAGAGATTATGGACTTCCATTTGGCACGATCCTGACACACCTTTCTCGCTTCCTCCACATCCATATACCTATGCATACACGCTCGTCGGTTAAAGGTACTCTTGATTTGGCCCATTTTTAATATAAGTACCTAAGTTTAGTAGGGAATATATTAAAGTAGCTTAAATACACTAAAGTACTTAGCTTTATAATGAAATATAATAACAAGAACAAGGAAAAAGAACACTACATCATTGAGAAAAATGGCAGATCAATTATTTACAAAATTATTTACAAAATTATTTTTCTATGTGAGTATGCTACTTTTTTTAACCCATCAGGTAAAAATACAATACAATTTGTATTGTGGTAGACATTAAAAATTAATACTTCACTTAAACATTAAGCATTCAATCTTTTATATTCATTTCAGACGAATGAATCCAGACCATCAACCTACAGTCAAGGAAGCCAACTGCAGCAGCAGAGCCTGGACTTGCATGTAGAAGTTGAGGAGTACGCCGACCCAAGCAAAGAAAGCCAGCAGGTCTACTCTAATTCAACGAAAAACGAAATTTCGATCGAAATTGATACACAAGAAGGTATGTATGGATGTATTTGATACATGAAGGTCTTACCACTAAACTACAGTCGAGATTAAAATTACAAGAAAATATTGTTTGTCACAAAAAATATACTTATTGATTAAGTATTTACTGCAATGTAACATATTGGAATGTTGTTTTGCAGCCTCACAATCTGCACGTCCCAGAAGAATACGATCTGCTGCTGGCTCCGATGTCAGAAGCAGGTTATACCAGTATGAAGATGGACGTGCAGAGAGAGAGACAGTGAGGAACACCGAGCTCGCAGGCATCAGGGCTGCCTTGGTAGAGTTGCGTGACATAGGGCGAGATTATTTAGAGTTTTTAAGGCAAAATAGGCGTTAGGTTTTAAATAAATTTATTTTTGAATACTATTGTTTCTTTTTACTATTTTTGAGACTATTTGTACTTTCAGATTAAGAAAGCTAAAATAAGAATTTTATTATTACTGAGAGTTGATTATCATGACCATAATTCGATATAATATAAAGATACTGTTAAGTATTTAAAATCATAGAAGTTATTATTTTCTCTGTATGTGACAAAATATCTGCAATGTCATAGGTAAGGATTAAGTAAATATTTGTTGCCATTTTATGAACATCTAGGTAGGTAGGATAACGATAAGTAGGTGAAAAAATAAAACAGAACTAATTTTATGCCTAAAAATATTTTAATCTAGGCTGTTACAAGCACTTGTGAATGTCAAAGAAGCTACGCCATCGGTTCTCAAACCCTAAGCGGGAGACCTTGTAACGAGAAGAACCGGCAAGAAACTCGTTAAGGGCTGATTTTTTTCTCCTTGTATATTTCATACAGAGTCATCAAATTTGTAAAATGACCTTTAAGGTAATGTAATTTTACTTCACAAAAATTAACAAAAGTTTACATACAATGGGCAGGTATTGAAATTAATTATCTACACATCGGAAAGGTAAGAGCAAATAACTTTCAACTAGTTGAGAAATCACTGTCTACTAGGTACCTACTCGAAAATTCATACCTAAATAGATAATGTTGTACAATATGCAATATTAACTAAATTCATTAGACATAAAAGTTAACATTAAAAAAAACGCATTGCTTACAATTATAACAAGATAAGAAGTGTACGTTTTAGGTAAGAAGTGAGTGCCATACATTTCAGTAATATTAATTCCTAATCCTATAATATTATAAATGAGAAAGTATGGATTTTGATTGTTACTTAATCACAAATAAACGGCTTAAATGTGGCTGATATGATGATGATGATGATTATCTCCTAAAACAAAAAAAGTTTTTAATTGAGTTTATTTTAATCTACTTGCACAATTGTTTGGTTTGAGTTTATCTTACCGGTTCCTTTCTAACATTTGTATTAATGAATTCCTTGCCCTTCGACCTGCCTGTAGAGCTTGAGTAGAAGATGCGGCTGTTTCAAAGGGAACCTGCCTGGTTCTCTCCGATTGGTGTTCCTCTTCAGTCAACTCTGGACCTTCAATACCAGCCCTTATACACATGTTGTGTAAAACACAGCAGGCTAATATAATTTTACCTGCTGTTTCTGGGCAGTAATGGAGTTCCCTAGCTGCCAAAAGACATCTCCATCGACCCTTCAATACACCAAATGTGCGTTCTATGGTGCAGCGTACACTTTTTTGGAGGTAATTGTACCTTCCCTCTGGAGAGTTCTCAACAGCATTATCTACAAGTGTCATCATATGCTCCCTTAGAGCATAACCAGAATCACCTAAAAATTTAAAAATATAATATTAGTGTAAATTGCATCATCACATTACTTACACATAATGAATATCAAAACTATAAATCAAGACATGCCTAATAGATAAACTGTTTCATCCTGGAGACCCTCCAAGTGGTTTCTTATCTCACATTCCCTCCAAATATAAGCGTCGTGAGTTGCTCCACCATATGAAGCATCAACATTTGTAATTAATAAATCACTGTCACATATCTGAAAAAGAATTTCCATCAATGTAACATAGGATAAAATGTAAGTAATAAAATAGTGAATGTCATAATAAAAACATTAAAATATTGTACATAAACTTACAACTTGAGTATTAATCGAATGAAAATGTTTTCGATTAAAATATCGTTCCTCGTGCTCCGAAGGCCTCACTATGGCTACATGTGAACAATCGATGCACCCCACCACAGCGGGTAGCCCATATTTATCATAAAATCTACAATAAGGATATTATTATAGAATAGTAAATTGTACAATAAAATTATATTTGTTTTTGCATGACTTATTTGCCTAGTCTTGGCACACTTTTTATGTAAATTGTTCATTTAAAATAACAGAATAATATTTTAATTACTAGGTATTTCACATGTTAATAAGTTTAACGGTCAATACTAGATAGGAAGGTAAGTACTTACTTCTGCTTAATAAGATTCCTTTCATTCCTATTTTGTGGGAATCTTATGTGCTTCCTTAGTATGTGGGGTGCATTAAGTGCAGTTGTTACCTCTTGTTAACAACGGGACACTGTCTGTTGTACCATGGACCCATCCATATTTTGTCCCACTGACCCCTGGTAACTTCCTCGGGCATAAAAGTTCAAAGCAGTAAGTATCTGAAATACATTAACACAGATTGAGGCTTATGAACAGTAAAATGAAAAATTAAAGAGAAGGGAGTGTTTAAACAATTTAAACTTACTTTAAGTGTGGGCTCGATTCCATGTCGTCTTCCCTTTGGAGGCAATAAAGGCACTATGTCCTGGCACAACTCCTCGAATAATTCCCGACTGAGTCTGTAATTTCCGACAAACTCTAGATCGGGAATATTTGAAATATTTAATTGATTACGCAGGCGGCGCCGGTTCCTTCTACGCTCCAATCGTTCTTCACGTAAAGCAGCCGCGATTAAAAGCTGTCTCGTAGCCATTTTAGTTAAATTTTTAACAAAATCGACCAAAACGAAAATAAAAAGTTAACACTTTTGGTTTCGTCAACTTGAGGTTAAAATTACGAACAAGTATCTGTCAAACTTCAATTTTCGTTCGTAACTTTAGTGCAATAGAGTAGGCTTAGAGAATTTAAACATCAAACTAATTTCGTTTCAACGAAGTTTCGAATCGAATGGAACCATGGTAGGAATTGAGCGAAATTTCGATCGAAATTTCGTTTTTCGTTGAATTAGAGTAGACCTCCTGATCCTGACCTCTTTGTTTTTATCTTTGTAAGGTATTTAAAAAATTATTTTACATTCTTCCATTTATTAAAGACGGATTTACCTAAAAAAATTGTTAAGTGACTCCAGATTATACTTTTTTATTTGTTTTTCAGATATTTGTCCAAGGGACATACATTCACTGACCTGCACGAAAATTTTAAGCTTGGAATATCTACTATAGCCTTAATAATAAGATAGTGAATAAGATGCACGTGTAAAGTGCTTTGGAATGAACTATCACAAAAATTCACAGAATTAACAGAACAGCGATTAAAAGTAATCGCAAGACAGTACGAGTCTAAAGCTGACTTCCCTCACTGCATTGGCGCCAGGAATGGGAATCATATACGAATGATTAAACCTAACAGTAGTGGTTCGCTTTTTTCAACTATAAAGAGTTTTTCTCTATAGTATTGTTTGCTGTAGTTGATTCAGATTACATGTTTATTTATATAGGTGTGGGCGCATATGGAAAAGAGTGTGATTCACGATTTTTTAAATTCTACATTATATAAGCATCTACAACAGAACCAGATAATACTACCGCACCCAGAACCATTATCAAGCACTCGAAGTGAAGATATGCTTTTGTTTTCGTTGCTGACGAGGTTTCCGCTTTGAGTCCATATACCATGCGTCCTTTAGGGGAAGAAACTTCCCACACCAAAACGTGAGTGTAATTATCGCCTCTCAAGAGCCGCGGTACGTAGAATGTGCCTTCGGCATATTGTCCAATAAATGGAGAATTTTCCATCGTCCCCTGAACGTGAATAGAGATTTAGCAATCGACATTGTTAAATGTTGCTGCGTTTTGCATCATTTCGTCAGAGCCAAAGATGGAGGTCAGTCTAGGGTTTCAATGGCGACTGTAAACCATGAAGATGTCATTATAGACATTACGGAAACACAAGCTAGGTTCACAAGGAGAGTTCCAGCAGCCAATACAATACGTGATATGTTTTCAGATTATGTTATGAGCGAAGAAGGGGCATTACCCAGGGAATTAAGTGTAATTTAATACCTATCTACTTGTAATCATAACCTCGCCCAGTAACATTTTAAACTTTATTTGCCCAGAAGACAGAACATCAACAACAACAGAGTATTTAAGCAGTTTTACAATGCATAGATTACATTCTATGAGATGTCTTTTAAACAAACAATAAATAAATAAATCTTACCAAAAATATCCTTGTCTTTTTCACTGAGCGCATCGAAATCGGAATATAATATTAAGCAAATATCTTTCCATGCTGCATTCGAAATGTTCTCATATTTAAACTCTTCTAAAGATTTGTCCCACAAGACTGGTCTTTCGCGATCCAGTGAGATTAATTGGTCCATATCTATATTCTTAATAAATTCAGGTATGTCCATTCTGCAAATACTCTTTGACATGCACCGCGCGTGACGTCCTTCCTCTCCGTGTGTAAACGACCAACTAAACTCTTATATTAGTTGAGAACTACGACACCGCTTCTCACTACCGCCGCGGTACAGAGACTCGCCACCGCCGCCGCGGCGTCATGTGTATGGCTCCATACAAATTCAAGGGAGACTATAGCAATGGCGGCGGCGGTGCCGCTGCCGCTGCGGCAAATGTGTAAACACCCTGAGTTTGGGGGTGCTTCGGGTAACACTAAGGTATTATCGAGGAAAGGAACTTGTTCTTGTTCAGTGCTCATGTCAGGGATATCCTCAATTTCTAATTCCGACTGCTCCGAATCCGTCTCTTCGCCTTCTTCCAATACATAGTTTGGGTCGGTCTTCCCCTTTGATCACGTCACGATCAGTATCAGCTAAATTTTCAACAGGAATTGGTTTCGCGTTTCGATCACGCTGATATTTTCGTTTTCTTGAAGTTGATGCCAGAGATTTCGACATCTAAAAACGTAAATAATCATTACTGCATATATACTGTCGTGACGACTACGAGACGTTTAATAAAAAAAAATACAGAAAAACTGTGCAGGCGTCATTCAGACACAAAGAGAAAATAACATAAATACCGACCTTGCGTCTGTGAGACGTCAACTGCAGCATGGCGGGAAACGAGTGCACCTCGCGCGCTCTTGCGCTACACTGCGGGATAGTGCAAGGGACCAAGGGAAGTTACTGCGGGCGGTAAAGGTGTAGTGCGCGTGGGGCGGTCAAAATATGACTGGGGGAAGGCATAGCAACGTCTGTCAGGCGCTACTACGGCACTTAAATGTTAATCCATATGGGCCCCCCATTTTTTGGGTATTATATTACATTTTCATTACACTCACTTCATTTTATTGGTATATAAACTTTTTTATCGTATTATATCAAGGTTAAAGTGTATTTTGGGTTATGCGCACAACCTTGAGGTCACCACTTTTTCGTCTTTTACATTTACAGGAAGCATTATTATACTGCAAATAGATGTTTATATGAATTTGAGATACTTATCCTAAACAAACCTGAAAAATGAAATCGTTAGAGTAATTCTAGAAAAATATGACAATAAATTCTCTCCCTTGGCATTTAAAGGCTACTGGACTTAGCAGTTTTTGAAACTATACGCCTCATATATTGTCTCGTCTATATCAATCATATCTGTGTGGGTGAGCTCACTTTCTGAATTTTCGAACAAGGCCTCCATTGATTTAAAAATAGTCTGACAACTATCTTCCTCACAGTTGGAGCCAGGTGAGAGCTGGCCGCTTAAATTATTAATTAACAATGCAGCAAAGGACGATACAATGCCAGCAATAGTTGGGTTAGTATTCCTACACCCATGGCTTAGAATCATCGCAAAGAAATTTTCTAATGGATCTTGGTTGAAATGCCTCATCTACACTGATTTTATATTGTACTTATTGAAAAGTTTTTGTATGAGGTATTCCACATTATTTATAGTATGTAACCAATTATTTATGGTGGGAAATGTGACCTGCTTATCATTTGATTTTCCATTACTGGTAAATTTCATTAAACTTAATACTTTTTTGGCTTTTGATCAAACAATACCATGATCGGATTTGGGCGTTACTGCCAATAATAAATTTTTTCCACTCCTCTTCTTTGAATTTTCAAAGCTGCCATCCAAGGAGTCAAATAACTTATCGAAATACAGGATAACAACAGCAGTTTGCGTACACTCAGCAGGCAATATGTTTCTTTCTGAAAAAAAAATATTAGTATTAGAGATTTAGAAATAAAGAACAAATTCGTCAGTTTTAAGTAAGTAATGTTTTGAAATGTAAGGTCATGAGGCCAATGTAAGGTGAGCTAAGCTGTAGTTATATTATGGTAGCAGCATTAATGGGTCGACTCGACTGGGGTAGCAAGCACCACATTCCCACAGAATACCAGCGTGAAATAGCGGCTTAATGTTGCTACTTTTCGTATGGTAAGTGTAGAGAACCGGAGAACCTTTTTACTGGAAATGAGGCATTTTATCTTAGTCCTCAGAAGTGACAACACATCTGCATTTTGATCTTAATTAAGGATAAATGTAGATTTCTTATGAGCCACGGTATCCACTTACAGGCACACAGTCCACCTGGGACTGTGTGCTTGTCACCCTTATTCTATAAGAAAAATATGTAATTACGATAAATAAAGAATCGGTTTACTTAGCTTAGTTAAAATATGACTTATGCTGGGTTTAAGAAGCCACTGAAATACTGCCTTAGCATGCTATCCACTCATCTAAAGAACATCAACAAATATAATAGTAAAATACTTAGGGAACTTCTTACAAAAGAAAATTTTTAAATTACCTGCTAAAAACCCCATTGTAACTGCAACTTTTTGGCTTAACGCAAATGGCGTTGCACATGTTACGGCCTACGGCTGCCCCTGCAAAAGTAGGCTATCCCGGGGCCCAAGCAGGAATTCTACGGGCAGACGCAGGTCGGGCCTCCAAAGTGGCCACGTGGAAATATCCTATCACAATAAAGGGGAAGGCTAGTTAACGGGAAGGTACTTACCCGCTTCGGGAGCGGAGACTGTTCACCAGGATCTGCCCGGCTAATGAAAGTGTAGTGAGTGTAGGTAGTATTTGTGTGTGTCTGGGTGTAGGTGGCCTGGGCTAGATGACACGATGCTGACCTGGAGGAGATATTCTCCTGTGGAGCCCCCGGAACAATTCCCTTCTTGAAAGCACTAGTTCAGTCTATTCACGTAATGGTACAGCCAAAAAAAGAACTTCAAACGAAATCACTATATAATTTGCACAATTACTTTAAACGAAGTTAATAAATCCGTAAAGAACAACACGTGGTTCCACCGACGACAGAGGTACTAGATCGACTCCGTTCGTGACGTGAAAAAAATTAAGTAAGGAACAAAAAACGTCCGTTCCGATCGCAAAAATTTTACACTCAACGCCGAGACGTGTCCAGTCGACCGGCCCGAAAGGAATGTCGGCGCGGGGGGGATGTGACCTCGATACTGTGCGAAGCTATTAGCGAATGATTATAACACAATTCTCAAAATGTTTAATATTGGCTTAAAGATTATATATAACCCTCATTTTTTGAAATTTGTCCGGATTTATATGTTGTTCTGTTAATTTTTTTACTAATCGTATGCTTTTGTATGCAGGTTCCTCCGCATATAGTTTTACTATGTTGTCCCATTTTCATTTTTTTTGTACCGTAAATACTACATATTAAATGTTTATTTATTAAATTATTTCGAATTCCCTTTATTAAGTGAGGCGGGTCATACAGAGGAATAACTTCTTTGTTATCTACTTCAAACGTGTTTCTGTGTTGTTCTTAATTTTTTCTTAAATATTATCCTTTAGTTTCTTGAATGAGGGAGTTTATGTTACTGACATTATTAGTCCCTTGGTCACACACAGTTGCTAAGACATGTAGTCCAATACTATGCAACTTTCTTATCACCTCTTTTATTAATGTGGCATGCTCTGCTGCGCTTGTACTGCCTGAGCTGAATGTATATGCCAATGGTTGCTTATAGTTTTTTTTGTATACCTCTTATCATAAAAACGAGAGCATGCTCAGCTAATTTTGTTTGCTTTGATTTTCCATCATGTAAAAAGCCTGAAATTTCATCTTTTCTTAAATTGTAATCAAAGTGTAGGGCAATGGACATCTCATCAAAAAGTAACATGCATAACTTTTCATCATCTTTCATTTTCTGTACTCTCTTTTTCAATTGTTTGAATAGATTTTCATTGAGTCCTGGTTTCGAATTCGCCCGTGCTATGAGTCTGCTCAGCGTCATAGATGAAGCCAAGACAAAAATGTTTTAAAGCCACCTGTAAACTCTAGGGCCACGTTTGAATAAGCTCAATGCCATGATTTTGTCGGGCTCTGTAAATCGCCCTCCGTAATTTTATTTTTGTATGATCCACAAAACTGCATTAATGTGAACATTGCAGCCAAAAGGTTGTGATTTTTTTCAATGTATTTTGAAAGGTTCTGTTTTCAGACATATTTAGTGCCTTTTTTACTCTGGCTGCATATATGCTTTCTTTATTTGCAGTTTATTCACTGTCTCACTCAGTGATCTTTCATCAAACATTGGCTTTTTCTTAGGCAATTTTAAATTTTTATTCGTAATCGTTCCTTATTTTTCTCTTGTTATTTGAGATGACGTTTCAACTGTAATATTTTTCAATGGACTATAGTATACAATATGTAAAATCAACTGTGGTACTAGTACATTCTTGCTGCTAAAAATGCTATAGGTTCTTTATCTTCAATTTAGCCTTTATCAGAGAAAGCAGTAAAATAAAAGCCAGTAATGTACACACTATAATATAATGAGTATTAACTAATATTATTTTTACAATGTGATTATTAACTAATAGCACCATTACAATTTATTACAATTATTTGCAACAAAAATTTTTAATAAAATAATTGAAAACTTTTGACAATTTCAAGATTATAGTTCACATTATTGATATTATGAACTAATCCAATAGCAATGAAAAATCCACTGTCATGAAGAAGAACAATACAAAATGAAATCTTACCTGGCAAGGGCAAGGTGGGAATTGCCAGGACTTAGTTTTCAACTCCATGTTAGAAATTTTGTTTAAAAACGGGCATGACACACACGGCAGTTTCTATACACTTGGTGTCAAGTCCAACTGGTCGAGACCAGTTGGGCATAATACGAGTATACCGATAAATATACTGTTGAAATATACCGATCCATATTCTTATCAGGATTAGGAAAGGAATGCAAACCTGTATCATCTTTGCCTAAAAGACATAGTATTAGAACTACCACTCTTTATTGTTTAGCCTGTTGATGATTAAATCTTTAGTAGTATAATAACCCTTATTAAACAATTATTGCTAAACAATAAATTTTAAATTAGGTCCTGCATATTTTCTGGGACTTCGAGTATAAAATGTGAGTATACAATGCCCCATGATGGAATAACTGTATTTACAGAATGTACATCACTATTTTTTATATTTTTTTTGTGTAAAATTCATAAATATTGAGGAACAAAAGTTAATATATTTATTTAGTTAAAGTTTTCTCTAAGTGATTCCTTCAGGCCTAGGTTATAAATTGCTTTCATGGCTCTCTTCTGAAAAATAAAACATAGTTTAAATGTCAGTTGCATTCACTACCACATAGCAAGATTCCAAATTCTATGGAAATTATTAAGCTAATTTAGCTGTAACCATACATATATATATATATTATGTTGGCCATACAAGACATACATACATACGTATAAGGCCTTTTATCTTATTTACAGGATATCCTGCAGAGTAAGTTTGCACAACTGTAATTCCAAAAAAAAAAAACAGTAGATTCAACAAGACTCAACCATTTAAAAGCACGCTAGTATTCACCTGTTTAACATTTCGTGCTTTATTACATTTAATACATTTTGTTTTATAACTCACCGGCACGGAAACTTGGCCACTCGTGAATTTGCTGATTATTTGCACTGAAACGTTTTTTTAACAGTAAATTAAGGGTAGATGCATTCAATAAGTGTCTCTAATGGTTTTAGAACGTAGAAATTTAATGTTTACTTCACCGAAATTTTTCTTTTCAAGATAACATGTTTTCACTAAAATTAACATCTTTCCATTGTCACTTTAAAAACACTACAAAGTTAAAAATTAAGTCTGTTTCTTTATTGTCTATCAGTTTTAATATCGGGTGTTTCCTCCCCTAGCCCTGATAACCGCTTGCATTCGATCTGGCATGCTTTGAATGATGTTTCTGACATCAACTTGCGGTATGCTGTCCCAAGCGGCCAGCGCTGCATTTCGGAGCTCATTTAGAGTTTGTGGCGGTTTGGAGCTGGACTTTATCTTTCTTTTGAACATACCCCATACATGCTCAATTGGATTTAAGTCCGGGCTACGAGCTGGCCACTGTAATTTTTGTATTCCAACCTTTTCCAGATATTCCTCTACACAATGTGCGCCGTGCGGGCGTGCATTATCGTGCATGAGGAGGAATTGGTCGTGTCCAATGAATCCCGAATAAGGAATTACGTGCTCCTGAAGAACTTCCTCGATGTATCGAGTAGCTGTAAGCCGATTATCGACGATGACCAACTCTGTACGTGCGTCGGAACTTACACCTCCCCATACCATTATTGAGCCTCCATGGAAACTCACAGTTTGGGTGGTGGTAATGGGTAGAAACCTCTCTCCTCTTTTTCTGCACACTCGTTCTCGACCGTCTGGAGCACGTAAAGCTATTCGACACTCATCTGTGAACAACACTCTAGCCCATTGCTCGTGGGTCCAATTGACATGTTCTCTTGCGAACTGAAGTCGGGCTACTCGGTGCTGTCTGAGAAGTTCTGGACCTCGTGCTGGTCTACGAGCTTTTAAATTCACTTCCTCCATTCGTCTTCTCACCGTACGCTCACTAACATTAACGCCTCTTGCGATTTGGAGCCGCTGGCGTATCTCAACAGCGGTCAGGTAGCGGTTTCTCAAAATCTCCATAACAATAAAACGATCGTCCCGGGCCGATGTGCACCTTACGCCCCCACTGCCTGGCCTGCGGGTGTAGCGTCCTGTCTCTTGGTATCGTTTCAGTGAATACTGCATTGAGGACCGTGGTACGTTAAGCACAATAGCAACTTCACGCTGTGTCAGCCCTTGGTCAATTAATGCTACTGCTTGTGCAACTTGTGCTGGTGTTAATGGCATTTTTATTGGCTTTAAAGCACCTTTAGTTATTAAATTAAGACACAAGATCACAATAATTGAATAACCTTACAGTAAACTTTTCACAACACACAAATTTAAAATGTGAACTTAGTCGCTCAAATGACCCGATTCAACTAAAAATTAAAGAATTCGTCATGGTGCACTTAAACATAATGAATTACCCTCTTGAACTTGAGAGCAAACATTTTTTGACATACCTGCATAACAAACATTCATCAGAAACACTTAAAGCTTTTGCTATCGCGAGATAACCGCTTGGCCAAGATTCCGTGCCGCTGAGTGTAGCATTACTCACAGTGTCAAATTTTAATAATGGCTGTTTAACCCTAGATCACTAACCTTGTTTTACAACACTTATTACTAACCTTCGTCGTTTTGTCTACGCCTTATAAAAGGGAGGCTTCTAAGGGTTTATGGAATAAAATTTTTGTGTGTGTTTTACTTATTTATTACAATAATCATTTGTTAACATGTTAATACGTTTTTTATTTACTAAAATCACATTATAATTACTTTGACATTCTTTTAATTGAGACCAGACTTTTTACTCAGTTTTAATCAGTCAATCTTCGCTGTTCGCGCGCAGACTTATCGTCAAATCTGAGGCAGTTTATAAGAAAATCAAATCTCTCATTAGACATAGTACTTCGGTATCGATTGCCACAAAAGGTAACATCAAAGAGCTCCCTTGATGGTAAATGATTATTCTTCATTGCTGCAGATAACGTAAGGATCCCGATCAGAGTTCTTATTTCATTGGAATCTCTGGGTGGCTTTTACATCCTTATATTTAATGCATTTTATAGCTATCTCAACATTAGTGTGAGTTACAATTAAATCAATCATACTATCAGTTAAAAAAAATAAAAAGCAAGAAAGCGGATCATATCGTTTTTACAATTATGCGTGGGCCCAGGTCTAATATGAATAATATTTCTGGAGGCTATTCGGCTTCGTAAACTCGGTTTCACTAATGACCATTTGTGTTTATATTTTTCGCGAAGAATATTACTTGTTGGTGTAATAATTAATTCGTATGGCTGACCTGTAGTACAAGGTAACGGGTCTTCAATTGATGAAGATGTACTTGCCTGGATGTCTTCAGTTGAAGGTGGTTGTTCTGTCACAGAAAGAATCTCTTCCTCACCATCTGTTTCATAAGCCGGATCAGCCTCAAGGTGGTCTTCTATCTCACTCTCAGAGCAGTTTTCTTCGTCACAAATATTATCTAATAACAGCTGACGAATCGTATCTGAAACAAAATATATTCAAATAAAAATAATGTAAGTTCTTATTTCAATGTATGCAAATTAAGTACAAAGTTTACAAAACACCGAAATAATTATAACACCAAAAAGAATGAAAAATAACTTTTGTTACGGCTTACGGCTGCTCCCATAAAGGTCAAATCCTCAGGGGCCCATTCAGCTGAGTTTCGACTAGCAGACGTAGGTCGGGCCTCCTAAGGCCAAAGTGGAAAATCTCTAGTTACACTAAACAATAAGGGGGAGCGTTCTGTAGTACGGCCATTCAACAGGGAGAATATTAGACGGAGCTTACTTACCTATATCCAAGGCGACTGGTCCCTCCGGAGTCGGTCAGGTCGCATGTGGTTGTGTAGTGCAATGGAAATAAGGTGCTGTGATGTGTATCTGGGTGTGACTGATGGTGATTGACCTTAGTAGACCTTGGCCGTCGGCAGCAGCCAGGGCGTCAGCACCGCTCCAAATTGAGCTAATCTTTCGTGGCACCGTCCGCAGTCACTTTCTTCGTTCGTCACGATGACAGTCCATTAACTATATCGTACTATTAACTAACTTACAGAAGCCACTAACTCTCGTTTGTTATAAGGCTTAACACACAAAACTAACAGGGAGTGTCCGGATCAAAGGTCACTACCGCTTCGCGTAGCAACAGTTATTTCTAGAATATCAAAGGTCGCACTAGCTAATATTGTCGAATGCACTTATACAGATTCTGAGTCGGAACCAATAAGTCCCGGGAAAGGCTATCCAACAAGGAATGCGCGTTATAAATCCTAGACAGGATATTTACTAGACGCCTAAACTATTCCGCGGTTCCCGCACAAAAATTGACAGCGTGCAGACCTTAGCACAGCTGGCAGATGACTACTTTTTCGCTCGCGACCCGCGCACTCTTGCCACGCTCGGCCGAAGTTCAAACTGGTATCGCGCCAAGCCGAGTGTCCTCTGGCGTCGATTCTTGACATTAGCGCTTGGCGCGAACAACTTTGCAAGAATAACGATAATACTAACCTTTGTCAATTCGACTACTCATGGTGACTGAAACGGCGCACACAGGGCCCCTACACAAAATACAAACCCGAGCGCCGCGCGAGTAGAGGGTCAACTTAGATTAGCCGGAATCTGGAATGCACCATAATGATTTAGCTTCCTGAGTAATGTCTCATGGATAATATTAGTTTCTATCTTAAAACTAAAATATTTTAGTAATGTAAAAATATGTAAATTTAATTTATATTTTTGAGTACTTACGAGATTTAACGCATCTTAGCACACAACAACCTCTCTCAGCAGAAGCCATAATCGTTAAGCAAATCAGAGTCCAGAGTTTCATGCGTAAATCCAACGAAAAAGGAGAAGTCTTCGGAGTCCGGGAATCAAGCAAAGTTGTCAAAAAAAATCTTATAAACACAAACAGAGCACATTCACAAACTACGAAAGGAAATGGAATGACAAACAGACAAATTATTTTATATGACATTTGACATTAATTTGTAACATTGACAAACCCAGACAGACCGAAATGACCATAAATCTGCCTTCGGATCTTGCCATAGATAAACAGAGAAAACAATTTTAAAATAGCAACGTCTACTGCAACATGGAGAAACTGTCATGACATATTAATACCTCTAAGAAAAATTAAAGTCTGGATTGTTATGCCACTTAACAATATTTTTAATTTTAATTAATATTTATATTTTTAATTAATTTTACTCGTCCCTGCGTTGCCAAGTAGCGTGAATCACAAAGTAGGCGACAACCATTGTTCAAGTGTTTCATGGCTAGAACCTTGTTATCACTCTTCAGCAGCAGGTCCACGCCTCTGTTGATGGCAGTGTTGCCCGTACTGAGCTGCTGTTGAGAGGCTTTAAGTGTCTTTCTGTCACCGGGAACGCAACCATCTATCTTTTTTTATAGGACAAACGAGCACACATTCCACCTGAGGGTAAGTGGTTGCTGCGGCCCATAGACATCTACATCTATCCTCTATTACAAATCAAAATGCAGATGCGTTGTCACCCGTGAGGACTAAGTTGGAATGCCTCATTTCCAGTAAAAAGGGTCTCCGGTTCCAAGAGCGTGGTCCTTCCCCGGTCGAACCGACCCATTCGTGCTACAACTATACTACTAATATAGCTGCTTTTCTCGGTTGCGAACCATGTCTGGTACTACCACCGATATGTCTGCATTCAATTTCGGCGCTTGCAAACTCTACAATTGTCTGGTATAGGGTAATCCTTTATAAGGATGTCTTTACTAGATATAGGCATTCCTTTATTAAGCAAAGGAAGTCACAAGTGTGATAAATTACCTCTAATATCAGTCCGACGTCGATTCACTGAAGGCTGACAGTAGATCAGGATCTAACTCGGATTCTGCGGATCTATTGGTTTTCTCTTGAGGACAGGGTTCCGTATGGCCGTCACGTTGATTATCATCGGGTACCGGATCCACGTTGTGCAAAATATCAGGTAGCATGGATATTGGTTCCACAATGGGTTAGTTATCGCTGGCCATGGTCACGTCAAGATCTTCTGTACCTAAAATTACAATTAGCAATTTATTTATTTACTCTTTATTGTACAACAAAATACAGAATAACGAGCACATGTTTTTTTTTTTGAAAAAACGATACACACTAGGATTTTCTCCTGTATCGTGGAGGCAGTTTACAAACATAAATTGCACGAGGACTAACATCCAGACCCGGAATAATTATTTGTAGGCCATATAAATACTTGTTCCGTGCGGGATTCGAACCCGCAGTGGCATAACTGATTGCTGTGCCACTGCGCCACGGAGCCGTCACAGTTAAATCTAAAGTAGAATGTGTACAACAGGCGGTCTTATCACTCTGAAAGTGATCTCTTCCAGACGACCTTAGTGTAGAGAACTGATGCAAACAATTATTAAAAATATTGAGTGGCGTACAAAATAAAAATATGAAAATGTATATGAATAAAGATAAGTGAAGATTATGTATGATATCATATAATAGATTAAATGAAAAGAGTGCGAAAAAGGAAAGTAATTTATCTAATAGCGTTCTAATTAATACGCTTTACAAGACTTGAAAGAATGAAGATTGAGCACGACGAATGTGGAGAGATAAAAAGTTCCACAAACGTGCAGCAGTCACAGTAAAGGGTTTCTTAAAAAAGGTGGAAGAGTGTAAAGGAGTAGAGAGGGAAAGATTGACAGAGGATCGAAAGAACCGATTATGGGTAAGGGAAAGATACTGGAAACGGCCTTTTAAATAATGAGGAGTGGAAGGATTAAACTGCACGCCATAAAAAGCGGAGAGAATGTGAGTATTCTTGCGAAGGCGGATCAGGAGCTATTTGAGCTCTTTGCGAAATTCAGAGATATGATCATATTTGCGAAGCCCAAATATAAATCTAATACATAAATTTTGAATGGGCCCCAGCTTATTAAGCTGCAAGTAATGTCAGGATAGCAAATATCAGCATAGTCAAGGATAGGCAGAAGTAGAGACTAGGCGAGCGTAACTTTAGTTATTGTGGGATGAAAATTAGGTAATCTACGTAAAGAGCTTAAAGCATAAAACATTTTTCTACTAACCTCATTAACTTGTGATATACAAGAGTCAAGATACAACCCCAGGTATTTGACCTTGTTACTGTAAGGGATTTGAGTGCAGTCTAGTAAAATAGGAGATAGGTGTAAGATAAAACACTGTCGATTGTTCCACGTCTATCCACAATCCTTGCCTAAAACATCTACACACCTTTGATATGTATCTATTATAAGTAAATGCCATCTACACTACAAACTATACAATATATTACACCTTCACCCTTAGTTTAACAAAATAACAAGTTTTCTTATAATATAGCATTACAATATACAAATACATATATAAGCAAGCAACATACATATACAGAATGGGGTCCCACATATATGCAATAAATTAAACCACAAGTAATACTAGTCCATAGAAGTGTAGAAAAATTAAATATTAAATTAAAACCCGTAAAATAAAAAAGTGAAATTTTCAAACAAAATAAATATTAAAATAAATTCAGTAAAAGTAAACACTCTGTTTAGACAACGTACCTTGACCCCTTGGAAGAGTGACAACGTTGCACGCGGGTGGCATGGCGGTTGGCGGCAGGCAGCGTTATTGTTTGTCGGCACGGCCTATGGTTCGTTGGACAATGTGCGACGAAATAAAAACTTACTCACTAAACTGTTTAGGTATTGTACCGCCACTTTTTTATTTCGCGAAAATGGAACTGAACGAAATAAATATTATTGCATATTAGTAGCAAAATTTAATGAAACCCTAAATTTTTAAAAATTTCAAAGTCGTTCTTGAATGCACAAGTTACATCGCCGCATAATGTTGTCCTGAAGCTTGCTCAAAAAATTTCGTTCAGGATTCAGAGCCAGGGCTTTTAATTTGTTAAAGGCGGCAACAATACGATTGCGCAGTTCATCTTCGGTTTCGAAGATATAGGTATACTTCATTTTTAATAAAGCCCCATAAAAAGAAGTCTAGAGGAGTGAGGTCAAAAAAAGTAAAGTAGTGTCAATATCACAATGAAAAAATAAACGTACTTAAAACACTATTTACACACACAAAGTCAATTAACTAATAAGTGTCTATTTCACCGTAAAAGAATTGTTTGACTAATTGTATTTATCTTACGATAAATAATTACGATGCGCGTAGGCAGCGAAACGCACCTGTATCCTGGAACAATTGCGCGTGAACTGGAAGCTAAATTTCCAAATTCCAAAATTGCGAAAATAATAAAAGTAATAAATAGGGCGGCCACAAGGTGCAATTATCGTTTATCGATACTTTTCTTTTTACGCTTACTTACCTACTACATTTGAATACAAGTAATTTTGATTTTTGATTTGATAACAATCGACAAGTTATTGATTGTTAAAAAAAAGTTTATTTTTGTACAATTGAACTTACGAAACTACCGATTTGTGACTTCCTGGGAAACGGGTATGTATGACTTTTTAAATGGTTGTTTTTATGGGTTTTTTTATCATGTTAAAATAATTTATTATCTCTAAATCTACAAGAACACACTTAAACAAAAAAAAGCTTTAAAGTTTAGCTTTAAATACTTAGGTCGTAGTGTTTTTAGGATTATCATAACAACACGATAATTCTAAAAAAAAACCATACCCTAAGTGTTTAAAGCTAAACATTTTTTTTTTGTTTATCGATTATTACTTTCTCCCTTTTAAATAAGCTAATCATCGATAACAGGTGTCCTACTCTACGACAAAGGCGCGCGCGCAGTTGCGCCGTCGCCTTTGAAGTACGCCGCGTGCCTCGTGCCGCTTGTTTATGCACGCCGACAAAAGATACCGCTGTCGATACGTCGCAATACCAATAGTTTGCACTGCGTGGCAACGTCGCTTTTTAATGTTCAAGGATTCAAGTTCATTGAATCATTGACTTAGTGACCCAATTCTATAGAGGGTTCAAATTTGCTTAAAATTAAAACTCTACTTTTTGACCTAATTACTGGGCCGATTACGTTTATTTTTTGTATACCGTCAGCAAAGGCGATAACAAGTATGTGGTTTCATTTATTGCATATATGTGGAACCCCATTCTGTATAAGCCGTGGTAGCTCAGATGGTTAGCGCTCGCTGTAAGCTTCACAGTACTCGAGCAACCCGGGTTCGATCCCCGCCGGCATCAATGAAATTGTTAATTTCAATTTTAAGTGCTGATTTACCACGTGCTCGGCGGTGAAGGAAAACATCGTGAGGAAACCTGCATGTCTGTGAAATAAGAAAAAAAATATTTTGAAGACATTTGAAGTTCGCCAACACGCATTGGGGCAGCGCGGCGGACATTTCCTTGCCCTAAAACCCTCTCAGAAATTAGAGCAGGTCTGTGCCCTGCAGTGGGACGTAAATAGGCTGCAACTTTAAGTTACTAACTTTTAACAACATACATTAAGTAACAATGAAGCATAATGTATAACTTAACATAAAAACAATAATAACAGGGTACACTTAATAATTAACTTATAGTGGTCAATCAAACTCTGGAAACCGTATTGGTGGTTTCCTATTTCTTAGGGGATAACGGCGTGTCAGTCCGGGCGTACAACTTTGTGGTTTTATGGTATTATTAATATCTGGCGTTGTCGTACCCAGCTGGACTACTGCACCCTCCTCCATCGAGCCTGTTGACTGCTCTGAGACCTCGCCTGGTTTATCGCTCTGCCTGGACATTGCATCTAGAAATGGGTTAAATGAACTGCGCCTGCATTTCTTACTATGTATGGGCGTGTCATTTAAAACAACATTAAATGCATGTCTTAATTGGTCTGCGTGTCTATGGTGTATGATTCCGTCGATACCTAAAATTTTATAACAACTGACACTGGATTTTACTCTCTAACCATTTCCTTCCCGCGCTATAGTTACGGTACCAAATTGTGTCCCCTTCCCTAAAATTCCGATGCAGACCGCCTGATGCTAACTGCTGACGTTTCTGTGAGGTGTGAACGCGATCTGCTCGCTCGGGTTTTAAGCAGTCGAGTCGCACACGTAACGCGCGGCCTTGTAATAATATTGCTGGACTCTCTCCCGTGGTACCGTACCCGTGTCCTTCTCCCGAGTAAAATCTTGGGCCTTAATATATATTGAACCATCAAATGTCCAAACATTTTTAACACCAAAATATTTTCGGGTCATTTTGTAAATTTCTCTATGTGGTTTGGTTAAGAAATCTGAGATCATAATTCTTGATCCATTTAACTTGAATTTCAACTTCCACACTTCTAATTTAACATGTTGCTCATGAAACTTAACTACAGGGTGGGCCATGAATTAGTTAACATTTGAAAAAATCGTATAAAAAACCATTTAACATATTTTAGAAATCGTTTATTTACGAGAAAGCTAATTAGTTGTAATTTATTTTCTGCCGACTTCCAAAAAGGAGCCGGTACTCAATTCGACTGTATGTTTTTTTTTTCGTTTTTTTTTTTTCGTTTTTTTTTTATGTGTGTTTACCTCAGAACTTTTTTCTGGTTGAACCGATTTCGATGATTCTTTTTTTATTTGAAAGCTGGTACTTCTCGTGTGGTCCCATATGAATTTGATCAAGGTCAGACCTATAGTTTTTAAGTTATTCTTAAATAACTTATATTGAAGTCGGCTGTACAAAATTTTTAATTTTAAATTATTTAAAAATTATTTCGTCTAAATGACCACCGTTTCGGTTTTTGCACTCATCTAAGCGAGTCCTGAAGTTTTCGAATACTCTTCTGCAAAGAGACCGCGAGATCGCCGACATCTCTTCGATGATTTTTTCTTTAAGTTGACGCAGTGTATTCGGTTTATCAATGTAGACACGACTCTTTAAATAACCCCATAAAAATAAGTCTGCTGGGGATAGATCTGGACTTCTGGGTGGCCATGGGATGTCACCCCGTCTGGATATCAGCTTTTCCGGAAACATGTCTTTGACCACCGGCAAGGACTCGTTCGATGTGTGACACGTGGCTCCATCTTGTTGGAACCATGTGTTACGATTATAGCCAGCAAATTCCAGTAGCATCGGTGCTAAGAACTCCCGTAACATTTTCACATACTCGGCAGAATTAACAGTAACTGAACGGCCTCGAGAATCTTCAAAAAAGTAAGGTCCGATGATTCCTTTTGCTGAAATTGCAGCCCATACAGTTACCTTAGGAGAGTGAAGTGGCCTCTCATGTTTAGCTTTAGGATTTTCGCTGCTCCAATACCTGCAATTCTGTTTGTTTACATGTCCATTTAGGTGGAAATGGGCTTCGTCAGAAAATAAGATGTTGTGAAAATTACTGAAACGAGTTAACATTGTTTCGGCATATGACTTACGCAAATTTAAATCATTAGGGTTTAGTTCTTGCCTTAGCTGGATCTTATATGGATGTAATTTCAAATCTAATTTCAAAATACGGCGTAATGATGTGCGGTATAATCCTAATTCAGCCGAACGTTTGCGTGTCGATAAATCTGGATCACGTCGAACAGAAGCGGAAACTTGCTGCACGTTCTCTTCGCTCCGAGAAGTCCGTGGGCCGCCGGTTTGTTTCACATTTAGTGTAGATCCCGTCTCTTCGAACTTCTTCACCCATTTCTTTATTAAAGGAGCACTTGGACACTGACTTAAGTCGTGTAAACCATATTCAACGCGAAATAAGCGTCTCACAGTAATGAGCGAAAAGTCGTTTAAATAAAACTGTTTCACGCAGTAAGCGCGTTGCGGCCCCGTGAAGCGATCCATTGCGACTAAATTTACAAGAAGCGAGCTAGTGCCCCCGCCCGCGCCCGCGCCCCGCGCGGCAATAGTTTGCGCGGTAAGTTACATTTAAATGTTAACGAATTCTTGGCCCACCCTGTACTATGGGTTGAATATGCTCATTCCGTTAAGCTCCAAGGCGTTAACAATAAGACAGTGAAGAACAGGATATACGAGTATGAATAATCCCAATTTCATTCTAAATAACATTTAAAATCTATTCTTGCAGGTTACACTCAGAGTTTTCTGTAACACCGTGAAACAGTACTGAACGTGGACTATATCTCTTGTTAATTTCATCTACTGCTCCAATACACTCACTTACTTGTTGTTTGAGTATTCCCAGCATTAAAGTAACAATTTCCTTAAATAATTGAAAATCCTCTTTTAGTTACCCTAAGGTTGGGCTTTAGTCGTGATTTAAGTTCGGCCATTTACACAGATCAGGTGATTCAAGGTCCTTCTGTAAGTCTTCTAAATTACAAATTTTTGCCATTTCAGGTGTGTTTATTGTAATGATTAGAACTATATTGTGAAAGTTAGTGAAACAACAAAGGTTAAGTTGAGGGTTGGGTGCTATAGCACTCAAAACTTTTAAAACTCTTCAAGCTTGCATTGTGACTATCACAATCCAAATTATACATGAAAATTGTTTAAAACTGGTAAACAAAATTACCATCTGTTAGTTGTTTCACACCCATCCCACTGTATATCAACTCTAAGTCCAATATTAATAACTTGACCCAGGAAGCTCAGGTGGGAAATCGTATTACTCTATAGGTAGATAGCATTTGGAATACATAAGATAAATACTATAATTCAAATCACAATGCTTGATTTACTAAGTAATATTTATTGGAAAAAGATTTGATCACACTCTTATTCTCATTGCTGTTAGACGGGAAATTAAGCTGTAGTCTTCAACAGATTTGACAGCATACAGGCAACTGAACAGACAAATCTCCAAATGCATCCGGCGGGACTTACGCAACTTCAATACAGCTTGTATTGAAGAAGTGATCGAAAGGAACCAAGGTTCCAAAGTCTTTGCCAGAGATCTGTCTGCCAGAAAGAGCCAACTATCAAAGCTGAAGACCAAGTGTGGCAGCATCTTTTCTGGGGCACCTGCGATTTTGAGTTGTTGAAGCCACATGCAAGTGTGGGTAACGATCCAAGAGCGAGTCTTATCCGACATTATTCCGATGATATCCCGGACATCAATCTAAGCGAGATTAGAATGGCTCTCCTGCACCTTAAAAATAGCAAGGCTCCAGCTGAAGAATTACAGAGGAACTTCTGAAAGCGGGTGGAAAACTGGTACTTAAAGTCCTTCAGAAGCTCTTTAATTCCGTTCTCCATGGTGGAACTACTCCAGTGGAGAAGAAGTGCGGTGGTATTGTTCTTCTAGAAAGGCGACAACGCTATCTTGAAGAACTACAGACCAATTTCCCTTCTGAGCCGCGTCTACGTGCTGTTTACGAAAGTCATTACGAATCGTTTCGCACGCAGACTCGACGACTTCCAGCCTCCCGAACAAGCCGGTTTCCGAAGAGGCTTTATTTTTATTTATTTTATTTTATTTATACTCTTTGTGGCACATAAAACACTACACAACATAGCAAACTTAAATTTATCAACGAATATACAATTAGGTGGCCTTATCGCTAAACAGCGATCTCTTCCAGGCAAACCTTGGTGAAGGAGATAATTTTCATTTAAATATATAGAAGTGTGCATAAATAGTAGATAAACAAGCATATATTAAAAATAATATTATATATACCTATACACATAAACAAATATATACATACACACATACATATACACATATACCTACATATACATACATAGAATACATACACTTTTATAAATATTTCTGTAATACATTATAACTATATATCATATACATAAACCTTATCAGGAAAAGTAGATATGACAATAAAATATATTAAGTAGAACACATATTTAACCACATTTTTGAAAGACTCAATGCTTTGGGCTTTTTTAATTGTTAAAGGAAGCGAGTTCCATAATTTGATTGCTATGACACAAAAGGAGGAATGAAAAAATTTTGAGTTGTGAGCAGGCATATGCAGTAAAAGTTTATCAGCTATTCTGGAATGATCTTTGTTTGCGCCCATGAACTCAAATTTTTCTTTAAGATAACTCGGTGTTTTAGGATCAAATAGTACACAGTACAGTAGAGATAGAATATGAGTATTCCGACGAAGCCTGATAGGGAGCCACTTGAGCTTAATACGGTACTCTGAAACGTGATCATATTTGCGAAGGCCAAATATGAACCTGATAGCGAAATTCTGAAGACGCTCAAGTTTATTTAATTGATCCTCAGTAAGATTGGAGTAGCATGCATCAGCATAATCAAGGATCGGGAGTAACAAAGACTGTGCCAGTAAAATTCTAGTAGGAATGGGAAGCGAGTTACGCAAACGTCTTAAATAAGATGCTGCCGCAAATATCTTTCTGCTGGACTCCTTAATATGCAGGGACCAAGAAAGATTCTGGTCAATATATAATCCTAGGTCTTTTACAGATTTACTAAAAGGTATCACAACACTATCAACAACAATAGGTGGAAGGTTATCCCAAGAAATTCTCGAGATTAGAGTGCTATTTCCAACAATAATGGCTTGGGTCTTTTTGGGATTTAAATTAAGCCCGAACGACCTGCTCCAATCAAGTATTGCAGCAAGATTCGTATTAGTGTCATTGATGGCATTGGTAAGATTCTGGAGTGATGTATGGGAGTAAATTTGGAGATCATCTGCATACAAATGGTAGAGAGAAGAAATTCGTGAAGTAATAGAATTAATAAATACAGAAAAAAGGAGAGGAGACAACACGCCACCCTGTGGTACACCAGCAGTTAGTTCACACCACGTAGATGTGGCACCCTCTACCATAACACGCTGCCGGCGGCCACGCAAATAGCTTTGAAACCATTCAATTGCCGCTGGAAATATGTTAATAGAACGTAGCAGACTCAACAATACGTCAATCGACGGTGTTAAAAGCGTTACTGAAATCCAGCAACGTAAGAATAGTGAGCTGCTGTTGGTCCATACCCCAGCGAATATCATCAGTGATTTTAAGTAAAGCTGTAACAGTACTATGACCAAGTCTGAACCCTGATTGAAAGGAGTCAAGAAGGGAGTTTTTATTTAGGTAGTGGTTAAATTGTGCAAATACCAAGCGTTCAAGAACTTTTGAAAGGAATGGAAGGATAAATATAGGTCGAGATAATCTGAAGGAGAACAGGGGTTCTTCTTTTTAGGAAGAGGAATGATATTAGCTTCCTTCCAGATTCGAGGAAAGGATCCAGAGGATATGGAGTAATTGAAAATATGAGTAAGGATGGGGAGAATAATATCAATCAGGGGGACGATCATTTTACGGCTAATTTCATCACATCCGATAGCACTTGACGATATGGACAAAACGATCTTCTTAACATCACAGTCGGAAAATTGATTGAAGGTGAACGGCGAGAAATTAGGAGTTGATGCTTTAGACAGATTGT